AAGAGTTATACCGTCTTTAACTATCAAAACAATAAAGGAGTGGCAATGGGTGGAGACCACAGGAAAGAATCAAAAGTTGCTGGACAGATTACATGTCATGGGTGGAGGACGTAATAGAGGTTTGTGATGTCTGGACTCTTCTGCTCAGACTGCTGCCTCATGCGACACAGTTACACAAAAACCAAAAAAAAATGTTGGACAGGACAAAGAGAAGCTCTTAAATCTCCCTGAAGACAATTGTGAAAGAAAGGACAGCCATCTACAGGCATGACTTGGTCTGAATGCAGTGTTCCAGTTTTCGCTTTATGTGTCATGAGTGATTTCCGTCAGACCTCTCCCTTCAAAAGGAGGTCAGAGAAGTAATGAATCTCTCTCTTTTTTTTAATCCAACCAAAATAATGATAATTTAAAAAATTTAAAAAAAACTGCCAAAATGCTTGTGTCAGTTCAACTAATGTCCAACACAAACCTTGAAAGTTTTGCAAGATGACTTTTTAGCTGTGATTGGTGAGTTGATGCGGTCAACTACAGATGATCCACTTTAGCAGAAAATTTTCCCAGTAATGTTAATCTTTTGCCTCTGACTCCCGGTCTAATCTACAGACTGAACTGAAGCCAAATTCCAGTGCTTTTGTAAAATTTTCAAGAGACAAAAGGTCAAGCGTCATATTTTCGGGTAGAATACATAAATAGGTTGAAAGAAACTCTCTCTGCTTCCAACACTTTTGGATTATTAAACGACTAAAGTCTTGGATTTAAGGGAAGCAGCAACCCAAACAACATCAGCTGAGGTCTGCAGTTTGCATTAAACCAATAATCTCTCTCTAAGCGGTCCACCTGCATGTTTACCCACATCATCTTGCTTTAGATGTGACTTCTTTTCTAGGCGTTGAAGCCAAATGAACGCGAGAGCATTTGACTGAAGCTCCAGTCTGAAGTACTTCAAAAACCACATGTGCAGCATTACCTTTAACTTTTAGACCCAGAAGATGTGCAAGAAACTAAGCTACACTACAACCATATTACTGTGGCACAGTTAAATACAATTAAAACACAGGCTGACTATGTGTGGAAATGGGAGACCTGCATGTACTGTAGGCTAAAAAGACTTAAATTTAAATTCCGTTGACACGGTTGTTGGACAAAATAGTGGAGGAACAATGCCGGTCAGAACTGAAGCAGGAATTATAATGCTGGCAGAATCGTTGTGTTTCCAAATATAACCTTTGTCACAAGCCGTTACTCATCAGTGGTGAGGTACAGGGAGACCGGGCTCACCAGAGAATCCTTTTACACCTCTACTGTGCTGATTCTTTTAAGTCTCCAAGATACCGTTCTCAGATAACATTTTTCCTGACTAGATGAATTTCCTCATAGATCTTATGAATTCACCTCTTTGGAGGCCTCCCTTTTCCGCTCTGTTCCGTTTTTTCTTTTTAGACATTTCTTGATTTTGAGTAGCACTGTTGTGTCCTGCAAGCCCAAGCAAAACTAAAATAGAAAATGTTACTAAGAAGTAATGTCAATAAAAGCCTTTTATTTTTTCTGGCCAATGTAAATAGAGACAGACTGTAGTTTGCAAAACAGAACTGAATCTCCTGCATGGCAAGAATACTGAACTGAACCTCTTCATTGTGACGACAGCCTTCATGTTTAAAGTGAGGGTCAAAATATAGTGCAGGCTCAAGTAGTAGTTCTGAAAACCTCCCCCAAAGTCCTGAATAAAAAATTAAAGATGAAAAACTGTCCACACAGTTGTCTTCACAACGTAGAAGAGCTGTTTACTGCCGTCTAATTTGAAAGTGGAAATTGTCACACAAACCAGTGAGCTTTCATTCCACAGTGTCCTTCAGTGGGTTAATATTAGCCTGTGACTTAATGAACAAGCAACCAAGTGTAGCAAGTTCGCTACGTCAGGGAGGACACCTCCACAACCCATGATTGTTGATGTATACGTCTACTACCTCAGTTGGAAGGAAAGAAATGTTTTTTAAATGTCTTACCCCCCCTAAAAAAATAAGAACGATTTGTAATCTGAAGTGTTTCCCACTCCTTTTTGTTGTCAGAAGCCAAACTGTAGCTCTTCCTCAGTGAGGAAACATCTGCTGGGATGATTACATAGGCCCCTGCTGGCACTGACAGAAGAGGTATAGAAAAGAAAACAACAGAAAAAGAGGAGCAGCAGAAAGGGTGAGATTCTGTCTTAGGTTTCATCAGTTTTGAAATGAATCCTCACAGTCAACATACAGACATAAGACATAATGTCCAACCAGAATATTGTATTTTCTTGAATGAGTTTCTTGGACAGTTACATTTTTGTGAATTGTTCTTCAAATGAAAACAATCTGATGAATAGTGAAAATCAAATCTACACAATAATAGCTTGTAGACACCCTAATGTTCTTTTTGTAAATAGGAAGGGAACTGGTAAACATTCTTGGCAAAAACACACGGCAGCCTTAATAATCAGTCCAACAGAAACTAAGCTGCTTTTCTCTGAGTCAGAAAAGCAAAATCATAAAAGCCGAAATCAGACCTTTAAACCACAACACAGTTCCAAAGTCCATTATAGCACATCTGCTTGTAGTGACATATTACAGTCTTTCGGTGTCATTTTCACTCAGCAAAATGCGTTTCGTCTTCGGTCAAACACATGGCTCGTTAGCACAACTTGTTCACCTCATTGCCTGAAGCTAACGGATTAGAATCAGACGATGAGGTGGCACATCTGGAAGCAGATGATGGACGACCAAAAATGTCAGCTAACTCATCTTACGGTCTTGTTAAAACAGCTCGCTTCCAGGGAGACAACTAACGTTTAAAAACGGCCAGAAGGTTCCCTCACCTTAAAAACGTCGTGAGCCGAGCGAGCGGAACAAATTCCTCAAGTCTGAAAGACTCCGCAATGTCAGCGAAGCCCAGACAGGAACGCTGCTGCTGTCACAAGTTGAACGTCGGCATTACGACCAGCGAGATAGGATCACCTGTGTGGATAGCTCCGCAGTCTGTTGCCTTAACTGTCACCTCCCCGGCTTATTCGAATCCCCAATCCGATATCCCGCTGACAAACAGACGTGATTAGTTGCTAAGTAACGTCAGGCCCGAGCGGTACAAGCCGGTGGACGGAAGAGCTCTTAGCTACTTAGCTTAACTAACACCTCAAGTCAACGTCAACAGCACCTGAACAACTTTCTCCTGGTGTGACCAATCCTGCCAATCGGACACAAACGGACCGAGAGACACGCGGAAAAACACACAATCTCGGTGGGAGTTACTACTGACCCGATACGCTCTCAAACAGGCTCCGTCTTCAGGAGGGGGGAAAAAAAAGATCTGGCTAGCTAGCTAAGTAGAAAACTACGACTGCTCTGATCCCGCACGAGCAGCCGCCTATTCAACGGCCAACAGGAACGTCAGGGTGGGTGCTGACCAAAGATGTTCTATTCAAACAAGACCAAACACTCACTCCGCAAATATTTGCCACGTGAATAAATCCTTCAATTAATAATTTAAGTTAAATTAAAAAAGATACTTAGATACATGTTAATCAGTTCCAACAAATAAGATTCAAAGTGAAATTAGTTTTTTCAAAAAAAAAACTTTGTACATATTACAATTGCATGAATAGTTAACGTTTTTAATTAAATTGGAACCCGATGTTAGTTTATCATAACTTCGCTTTATTTCTCAGCCTTCCGGGTTAAAGTCAGGGGGCGGGACTAATACTGCTTTAGTAAACAAAGTAATTGGTTTGTAGTTTAAGTGTGCAGATAAAGCAATCAGATATGAAGTTTAAATATTTCATGTATGCCAGTGTTTTTCAAACCTGGTCCTCAAGCCGCACTGACTTGCGTGTTGTTAGACGTTTCCCTGCTTCAACACATCCCATTTAATTGACTGCAATTCAGCAAAAGCCAGTTGATCAGCCATCAATTGAAAATATGTGTGCTGAAGCAGGGAAATGCAGGGCAGTGTTGAAAAACACAGATGTATGCAATGTAATTTAGCAGATTTAAATTAAATTCTGCATGTAATATTTATCAAATTCATATTCAGTTGTCAAGAGATTTAATATCAATATTTTCTAGTATTGAATTTAAATTTGAATTTAAACATGCATGCCATTTGTTTAAACCACAATGGCATGCATGTGGAAATAACCAGCACCAGATTTTACACTTTAGCTATTGATAGCCAAAGTTAGCATTATCACCCTTCCTGTTGGTCATAAATACAAAGGGGTTCTTGAGATGACCTCTGGAAAATAGAATAAAAAAAATACTATGATTTATTGCTTCAAAGCATAAAGACATACAGTTAAAAATGTAGGCTATGTTAGTGCCACCGTTCTGAGATGTTGGAGCTGAGCCACCCTGTAGAGGACAGTGGATTCAGCTGCTTGCATCTCACTGCGTTCAGGCAGAATCCATGTCTCCTGACCACAGCTGTTGGTTACATAGACCCATTAGTTACTTACTCTCCATCCTACTTGTAAGACAACACATTTAAATGTATCCACCTGTTGCAAAGACAGACCGCTGACCTGGAGCGGTCTGTGGTTGTGAGCTGTTTCACAAATTACTTTTACTTTGAAAAAGGAGATTAGAAACAGGCTCAGAGGTCACTATAAGGACTATGTCTCTTAAAGATGTCTCTTCAACCACCCTGTTCAGGCTTGATCTCTGATTGAAAAGACATCAGGGGTGTCAAACTTCAGTCTGGACAAGACTGTCCTGCAGTTTATAGATGTGGCACAGGTACAAAACACTGTATTGAAATAGCTTAATTACCTCCTCCTTGTGTCAATAAGTTCTCCAAAGCCTTGCTATTGACCTAATTATTCTATTCAGGTGTGGTGCAGCAGAGGTACATCTAAAAGTTGCAGGGCAGTGGCCCTCCAGGACTGCAGTTTGACTCCTGTGGGATAGATGGATGATCTCTATTTCACTGCGGCAAAAATCCGGAATGGTCAAAAAGATTGCCATGACACAGGCCAAGCATGACTGGTGGTTCAGTTCCTTTGTAACCATTTATTCATCCCAGTAAAAATGTCAGCAAAAAAGTAAAATATAGACAGAAAGTGAGAACACAAGAATGTTTACTTAAGACCTTCAAAGCAATCCAAATTTGACAAGAAAAAAAGTCACTTAAACATGACCATATAAAAATGAAACACTATACCGATTTACATAAAAAAATTAAAAAACATACAAAAAGGTTATGTTACTGCAGCAGAAATTTAAACTGCCTGTAGCCTTACAGATGAAAAAATGATCAAGTTTAGTGAGGATGAGATATTTTGGTTTTAAAATGTCCATGTTGTGTTCTGAATCAATATGAAACATTTCATTTTCTCTTTGACAAGCTTCGAGGGGAACCTTTTAGTAAGTCTCTGATTTTCAGGTACGTTCCAGTAGCTTCAGCTACTTCCGTGTATTCAGGGGTGTCTTCAAATTGAACAATGCCGGCTGCAAATTTGCTCCGATGAGGAACAGCTATGATCTTCTCATGACTAGACAAAACATCTCCAGCCCCCTCATTGAGGATCTCTGCATTTTGCCTGTCAGGGCTGTCATCTTGGAGTTTGACAGACTCTACATCAGGGCTCTGAGGACTTTCGTCGTCTACTTTTATGGGCCAGTAGATTGGAGTCGAACTCTCTTGTACAGCCGGTTTCTTTTGATCCTCACTGTCACAGCAAGATTCAGCAGGTCTCACCTTGTCTGGCTTCTCATCAACATCTTCCATTTCTGTGTCAATGTGTGCTGGTGTGGAAGTACTGGGCGAACTGGGAACAGGTGTACCTAAACCCGGTGTCCCACTGTCACTATTTGTGGCTGTGTCAGCATTTTCCAGAGCCGCCCAGATCAGCCTCTGCTGCTCTTCTAGTTCCTCCAGAGTCAGATCGTCTTCTGCTGCCTCGACAGTCTCATCTGCTAGCGGCACTTCCCGTCTCTGCAGAGCTGGAGAGCCGTTGGTGGGAGTCAGTGGAGGCGTCCCTTTTGGGAGAGGTGGGCGAGTAGGCGTGGAGGGAGGAGTGCCCAGAGGTAATGGAGGAGGTGAGCTGTAGCAAGGGGAGTTTGGAGGTAGGGGTGGTTGGAACTGGAAGTCACCAGCTCGATATGAATATGGTGTCCCTGGATCTGGGAAAAGCACAATGGAATGAGTATTATTCTGCATTTTAAGTTGAGTTTCGGCAAGACTTAAGTTAACATCAATTCTAGGAAATGTTGCAATACCTGATTCAATGTCCATATCCGAGCTCCTGTTTGAGTTTTGATCTGGGCTGGACTTAGTCTTCTTTTTGAGAGGAGGGGATGAGTCAAACTCTTGTCGCCTTTTGTTGCAGGAGCCACCAGGCTGTTGGCAAAGAAAACTGAGATTTTAGGGCTTTGATCAAGCAGTGTAGCCAAAAACAAGTTCCTCACAAAGTCAATAATGTTTTCCAATTCCAAAGAGTATAGCTGGACAATACATAGAAATGTATCAGGTAAGGGTTTCATATCAGGCAATATCGATGATTATTGATTAGGTTTTCTGATCTGAAATACTGCTAAAATAGTCACATCATCTCTCTGGTTTTACCTACAATTTGATTTGAGCTGTTCCACTCCTTTTCTCCTTTCATTCCACATTGTTATTTTTCCATTTTTAAGCAGTTATTAGGCATGACGGCAAGACCTGAAACTGCTGCAGCCCAAGCTACTAAACAGGTTGTTGCTAGATAAGCATAGAGCAAGTGAGTTGCTAGATAACTGATGAGGAAGTTAGTTACTTGCTCAACCTTGCTTAATGGGCCTGATATGTGAAGCAGCTAAAGCCTTTTGTCTGCCTCCATCTCCTAGGATGCTCTGCAGCTCTGGATCAGACTTCAGTGAAATTACTGAACATTCTAATTGACGTTAAAGATTACATCTCTATCGTGATATATGTGATAATTTAGTTATCCGGCCTTATCAAAGAACCTTCCTTTCAAAAGCCTTACGCTATTGGTGTCCTTATGTTGTAGAAAGTTGGTGCGGACAGTGCATGAAAGCGTACAGAAGAAATGGATGATTTGATATTGTTGAGTTTGGTTTGGCCATAAAGAATGAAAAGTCAAAACTCAAAGCATTACCTTAGGGAAGTTGCTGGAAAGGTAGGCTGCATAGTTTTGCTTCATGTGGCTGGTCTGCATTGGAATCGAACCATAATGCATAAACTCCTGGAAGTCAGACAAGATTATAACAATTTAAAAATGCAGAGCAATTACACCAGATCTATCCCGAACTCCCAAATTTAATAAAACTGTGCAGTCAATGCAATAATAAATATCTAGATTTTTTTCCCCCCCAAATTCAAATTCAAAACTACAGTACCTATGGATTAAAAATAAATAGCTCTCAGTATATAGCATTTGGTTTGAAATGTACTTACATCTTTAATTTGATGTGCAGGCACATTAAAGCCAGGGAAATCCACCAGTTTGGAAACATCGTAAGAAATGTTTTGTGAAGTGCTGCCGACATCATCATTTGATACTGCAAAAACAGGAGAAAAACTTTGTGACAAAGTTCAAATTTTGTGCAACCAAAATACATGTTAATTTTATCTGAAAAAAAAAATACAGAAGGAAAACATGATTACAAACAGAAAACATACCATTTCCATCATAGAGTGATAAGCCAGAGTTTTCCATCTCTGCCTCTTTGAGCCAACCTGGTGGATAACCCAGCTGCCTCATTCGATAAATTAGAGGAGGGAGGGTGTTACCGGCTACTCCCAGTGCTGCTAACAGCTCCTCACTGTTTAGAAATCAAGATGAAACATAATAAACATAAAATCAGACAACAAAATATGTGTTGTCTGATTTTATTGGAAGTTGTATGTGATCATTGTTTCTTTTGGTTTGCACAAATTCTCAATCCTACCTTAAGACTCCAGGCTTGAATTTCCCGAAGCGCTCCTCGACTTCATCAGCATGGTAACGTTGGTTGCTCTGAGTGACCTGGTTCTGATTAAACGCTTTTCTTCTTTCGTTTATCGCAGCCATATCTTTAGGCTAGGGAGGGGACAAAGTATAAATGCAGAAAATTAAGTAGTGGTTTTTCATGTTGAGAGTTTTACTTGCATTCCTGCCATATTAGTCGCTCCAGTCGAGTACCTGGGGACAATCTCTGAGCTGATGAGCGCTGGAGCCACAGTTGAAACACATAGACTTGGGTCTGTGAAAATAATCATGCCACAAATGTAAACATTTTAGTAGACAAATTTGAAAAATTTATAAATAATTAAAGTCTTTCACCTTTTGTTTTTAATTTCCATTTCTAATCCATCTGTTCCAACAACTTGGTTATAAACCTGCTGGTAGCTGTGTAACAATTCAGGAAAATGCTCTACTTTAAAAAAAAAATTGATCAAATATACTTTAATACAACAGTTAAAGAAATTTGATGAATAGTCATTTATTGATTTTTCTGTTTTAGGTTTTTCTTGAAACCCAAACGACTCCCAAAGCATCTAGAAATATGTTCTAAAAAATCTCTGGAAAAAATGCTAGATAATCCATTTCAAAGATACATTGGAACGTCCCATCCATCAGTCAGCTGGGGGTTTTCATTCACCAGAGGCTGTCCAAGTTTGTCAACACTGAAGGTAGAAAAATATAAAACACTCCCAACAACCTAAGAGACAAAATAGTGCAATAATATACAATTTTCCTTTTCTTATGACAGCATGTTCTGCTTTATGTGGAGATAAATGTAGGCACTTACTTTAAAGGCTTCTGTTGTAGTTCTCACACTACTGGAAGACAACTTCTCAGGATCTTCATCCAACGCAAAAGCTGAATTCTTCAGAAAGTGAAACATGTTTCAGTGGAAGTTTATTTGAAGTGAGATGTATGGATTTTTAAATTTAAAAAGGTTAAAAGCAGCCAATATTTCCCTTACAGTAGATTATTATTTCAGAGTCTTCATTTAGCATAAATTTGTATTAGTTGGACTATGAGGCTGAAACTAATGGCTTGAAGTGATACCTGAGAGGCACTAAGAGCCAAATTGACTTTTGTGTAAACAACTCCAAACTCAAAAACGTCATGGCGGTTCATACAAGTGCTACATTGTGAGGCTTTAAGTCATTGGCATGTTTGTATTAGGTTGTAATTTGAAAAACCAATGATTTCTACACAATAAATTTACATAATATGAAACATGCCAAAGTTGGAAGTAGCAGAGCAAAGTAACTGGTTTGCAAATTAACTAAATTTTACAATAAGCACACACTTAACATGTCCCTATAAAACTCTGGCACTTGTTGCTCCGATAGCAGAATGCACCTTTAATTTCACACAGATTAATCTGTGGTTTCAGCAACATGGTTCAAACACAGAGAACACCCCACATTGTAGTTGGGCTACAACCAAACAACAAGAAAACTCTGGAAGAAGCCCCAGACTTAACACATTGTATTTGCATTCTGTTGTGAAAGGCGATTTATTGGTTTATGACATCTGATTTCATCTGTGACTGGAGTCTGAAACAGAATATAGCCACTTAAACATATACAAATGCACAAATAATTATTGCCGATTATTATTTAATTTTTAAGAAAATTAAAAGCGAATTAAACTACATTTTACATTCTATATCTGTAAGGCTCAAAGATCTTTCTGGTCTGACCATGGCACAAAGGCAGCCAGCTGTCTGCATTTCTCCTTCCGATGATCCTAAAACTCGAGCGTGGAAAAGCCTGCTGCTAAGATGAAAGTGCAGCTTTCGTTATTATAGATTTACTTTTAAATTGTAAAAAATAATCATCATCTGTGAGAAATACTTTACTTTTACCTAAGAATGAATTTTTGAAAAGTCATGCCACTAACCCATGCCACGCAAAATGTTTTGCAGGAAAAACTTGTTTATTAAAATGAATATAATGATTTACCACAGCTTACAACTCTCTAGTGTAATCACACTTTAGAAATCCCTGGACTATTCCTTTAAAACACAACGTTGAAAATACAATACATTTCTAGGTAAATACCTGTGGTTTCATGTGAAACACTGATATCTTCTTTTCATCTCCTGGTTTCTGGTGCTTCAAAATGACACTGCAGATGCAGTCTTCGATTTCTTGGCGACATTGTCTTAAAGAGAAGGATTATTTAGTATTCTTTTTTTTCCACCTTTGTTTTGAGCTGTTCAATCTGAAATAAGCCTTTTTGTTTCATTAAAATGTCAAAATGCGTCTATTTGCTAACATCTACAGAAGCAACCAACCATGCAAATGAACATAGTCTCTACATCTATTTTGTCCAGTAAAGATCTTAAAGATTATTTACAAGTACAGGAAGAACCAAAAAGACACAAATGTTGCTTTCTACTTGACTGTTTCCCATCTTGCTGTCCTCTAATGAGCCCCTCTGAACGGCGCAATATTGAACTTACTTTGATATAATATTGTTGGTGAAGAGGATTTGAAGAAGTGGCCCGTCGATGTTGATATCTTCCACTGTGATGCCGCTGTGAAGCAGGCAGAAATGTGCCTTTGGTTAGGTTTCGTTTTAACTAAAGTGGACAGTCTGGTTTACACTTAGAAGATTACCTCGGTCGTGTCAGGATATTGAGCTTCCGCCTTAATACTTTATGTGAGATAACAGTTAAAGAAACAGAGAGAGGCACGCAGAGTAAACAATCGCATGTTTTACAGCTCGAGAGCTTGCAGCCAGGGCTAGTGATAGCAAACATGCTACACTGACGCAAGGATATTTTCCTCCGAAAGCCTCTCGATATTATCTTCGCACTCTTCCAGCCTGCTCCGGAGCTCGCTCGCCTCTTCGTTTTCTCCATCGTCCTGTGTGAAGTGAATGTGTCTGGAGACCGGTGGGACAGAGTCCTCGAGTTGCTGGAAAAGCTCACTGTCTCCGAAATCAACTTCGGCCATTTTTAGCCTTTCAGCGCTAGCTAAACGGAAGTTCGGTCGTGAAACGAACCGTTTTTGTGCGTTCATTGGTTCTTCTCCTGTCACGTGTTCTGACTGGATTCGCTCATATAATCCCAGTCACGTATTTCAGTTTAATAGACGTCAAACAATGTGAAACAGTCTTGCTTTTTCTTCATCCATTGATAATAGAAAGTCAAATTAAACGTTTAACAGACCACAAACAGTGCAAGAATGTAATTCTAACGGCTGTCAAGATTATCAGGGCAGAGGGGTCTCTTGGTAGAAATGCATGCCGTATTCTTCAGAACTTTGTCTTCCAGTTGGTGGCGGTAGTGCGCTAAAACATCTATTGCTAAACACCATTAAACGAGTAGAAGAAGAAGAAAGAACGAAGAAGAAGAAGAACGTAAACATTCAATTGATACGCCACATAATGCCAGCGTGAGAAAAGCTATTTATTTGCTTGTAGTTATGTCAAGCTGTTCACCTGCCCCGTTAGCTTTACCTCAGTGGGAAGGAGGCTGTCGGAAGATTCGTTTTATTTACTTAGTGAATCCAACATCGTTCAGATTGAGCAGCTGCCTGCAGGTAAAATCTTCTGATTTGGTCGCGTAATTTGATTAATATTAAGTTAAAGTCAATATCTAAACTTTAAGTTTGTGTTACAATGGTCAAACACACATTTTTATTTTAACTGCAGTCAAATAACATCCTTCCGTTTTTCCGTTTCCATTTTGCCAGGATCCAGTAATTCCTCTGTATTTAGGAGCTGATCTCCTGTCCAATACTGACATCCGCGTGGAAAACCATCCCAGGTACCATGCCAAGTTTGCGAAGAAAGGACTTGCCACTAAAGTACACTTTTCTTCAGGTAAAATGTACAACTCCATTTTAAAGTCCAATGAAAATCTCAACACCATGGCTATGGTAGTGGCGGCTATTATTATCTGACTTTATTTAACCTAATGTTGTTTGTTTGTTGCAGCATTCAGATTCCAGGGATTGAGGGTTCCTGCTGCAAATAACAGCTTGTGGTTTTACAGCATCCAAGGACTTTTCCGCTTAGCCTTCGAAATATACAATAAGCAAGAGCAGCTTGCAGTGTTGGAGAATTTCCAGGTACAAATGCATGCACACTAACCTGATATTATATTATTTTCCACAGTTTTTGTCATAATTTTACATAAACTAAAAAGTGAGCCATTTCTTATCTAGCTGTGTATCTTTCACCATATGTAAGTTGGGATATGTTTATATTTGAACCTGTGTTGCTTAGAGAAAATCTGCAGTGTCTTTAGATGTTAGTATTAAAAATAATTAAAAGCTCAAAATTATATTTATTTAATGATAGCAGTATGTACATTTCTTAGGATATGTTTGTGTAGCTTCTCAGTTGCTTTGTCTGCAACACTCCTAAGACTTCTCGTGTTTCCTGAAGACGTTTCAATTCTCAGCCGAAAGACTTCTTCAGGGCTGAAACATCTTCGAGAAACAAGAGGAGTGGCTTATGTGTCATTTGACTCTTACTGGACATGTTTAACATATAATTCAGATTGTCTTTTCGTCGCAGGATGTTTGGAAATCACAGATAAACGAAAGCCCGCTGGAAATGAATTACAGCCTCAATGTGCAGCTTGACATTCCAGCGCATCCAAGCGACAGAGATTTGGAAATACCTGGACATAATTTGAGCCAGATTAACGGGAATGTCATGCATGCATCTGCTGAAGACACAGCCGATACAGCAGCAGATCATGATTATTGTACTTTCACCAAACAAAGCTGCCAAACCGAGCAGATCCATCCCACTGTAGCCGCTCTCAGAGAAAAACTGCACCACTTGGATGACCAACTTCGCTCTCCCCCTCAAGGCTGCACAGATCGCTTGGAAACTATGTTGCTGCTCTTAGAGAAGATTGATCGATACATGAATGGCAGCCTGGATGAAAAGGATGCAGCTGAAGCTGTGTTAGCACTACTGAACGCTGAAGACTGGACTAAAGACTCTGTGTATTCCAGTTACATGCTTACTTTTATAGGACGGTGGCTTGGGCAGCGCTTTCATGCAGCCAACAGCAGCATCAGCCAGAAAGTGGAGAGTTTTAAAGTTCAGCACATCGAACAGATCAGTGATTTGCCACCTGCAGAGGAGCTGGCTGCAGAACTGTTTCCAGAGGCTATGCAGACTCTGCTGCTGCACTGGATGGGCTTATGCGATGAGTCGACTGAAGGAAAGAGACGCAGCGAATATCCAATCCTGCTTCTTATTCTGGAGTTTGCAAACCATAACCTCATTACCGGTGTCGCTCATGTGCTCTACTCAACTCTTATATGTAAATGAGAGAGGATTTCCATAGAGCAACCAACATAATATCTGCACAATTCTTATAGATGGCATTTTTGTATAAAGCACGTCTGTCCAAAGAATATATCATTTCCAGTCCTAAATTTGCAGGATCGTTGTTATAGTTTGGTTTATAAACTGTCTATGAAAACATGTCATTCATAGAAATACTATTCTATAATATAACTTGATTTTGGCCAAACATAAGTTATATGGTGTTTTTTTGTTAATTTGTGTCAAAGAATAGGAAGTCATTTTTCCAAGTCCCAGAGTTTTGCATTAGTTTTACAATAATTGTCTTCAAACTCTGCTTTACTTGAATACTTATCCTAATATTGCACACAATATCAGGAGAAAGTGGGATATCTTATTGCACTGACTTAAATAAACAAATACTCAACTAAACTATATTCATGTCTTTTCACATTGGATTAACTATAAACAGTCCACAAAAAGTGAGTGATCTGTGCTGCTCCTGCTTAAAAACTTTTCTTTTTAAGCTCTGGTTTTATTGAAAAATTACATCTGGCTACATCTGCTGTTTTGGCAAAGAGACAAAATAGTTTTTTTAATAAAATGCTTCTAAAATATTTTATATTCAATTGAACCCTAAACATAACCAGATTTTAGAGGTATAGGTCACCTGAATCCATGGTACTTTATTCAACAATAGTCAATATAAATGGTCTTTACTTTATATAACTCTTTATCAAGTCCAGAGGACTCCAAAATGTTTCACACTACATTCCAGTTCTGATTTTCTTTGTGATATTGTCTGGGTTGACTAATGGTTACATTTTAGTTATTTAGTAATTGTTTTGGGAAAAAAAGAAACATCTAGTAGTAGCTTTACTGTACCCTACTTTTTGCATCTACTTGACTGATATTATGAAGTACAACCTTTACTTGAGTACAACTTAGTTACCTCACTCAATGAAGAACAAACCTGTTCATAAATATGTGCTCATATATCAATGAACATCCATTTTCTCCCCAAGACATAGTAATGTAGCAGAATCTGTTGTTAGGTCATCCAATAAAAAATAACTCAGAACTGTTCTTTAACATTCATGACATCAATATAACACATTAGCATCTGGATGTGGTTTTCTAAGACACAAAGTGATGCATGAAACCTTTTTCAACACAAGATTTATTTCATGAATGAGTGAAACATTTCAAACTCATTTCTATCCAAAGCAGTCAAGGAGACAAGTGCTTATAACCACCCATGATTGATTTTCCCCAATGACAAGTGAAAATGGGGGATTCCGAAAATGCTACTGTGTCCTTTGCTAGATGAATGTAAACAGCGTCAACTTAAACCACATCGTACTCCGACAACCACACATCAATATATTTGTTTTTCATAAAAAAGAATCACATTATTAAAAGGAAATATCTACTTCAACTTCTCATCCACCAGTCAAGATAATTCCTCCTTTTTCCCCACGGACTTAAAGATTAATAAACGCTGAGACAAACTCAGCATCTTACTATATACATGTTACAATTTACGAGGCTTTTGTCTATAAATAATATACAGAGTCAGAGCAACATCCATGCAAGCTCGAGGGCTGGCAATGAATTACGTGACGAGATGAGGACGAGCGCCGAGGTTTGGCACTAGATGGAATCCATCCCACGAGAGAAAGAGGACGAAAAGCCAAGTCCCATTCCTCTCTGGGTGTGTGTCTGAGATCGAGCCATCTCGTACTGAACATCGAGGTTCTTGAACATCTCCTCTTGCTTCTGAAGAGTCTTTAAGCCTTCATCGTTGAGTTGTTTGGTAGCTTCTGCATCATCCTCACCCTGCAAACACACGGAGGGTAAAATATCCTTTCACTCTAAACTTAAAACTCAAAAAGTGGTGAAAATATGACAGAAAGTAAGAGGTTTACCTTAATGCCCATTAGTTTGCGAAATTTAACATTCTGGTCCTTGTTTCCAAAATTTAGTTTCTCCCACAACTCAGCAGTTTGTGACTTTTCCTTAGAAAGTACAAAACAAAAATATAAGTATTTTGGTAAGCAATCGTCAAATATTTTTACAAGTTTCCAGGAAAACAAACGTACCCCGTCTTTTTTCCCCTGCCATAACATCTTCCTCTTTTTCTCCTGTTCGGCAAACTTCATGGGGTTAACAGCAGACGGGTTGTAGTAACTGGGCACAGCAATGCCAGTCTCTGCGAGGGTTTTGGCTTGAAGGGCTGCCATCTGTGCAGCCATGGCAATCTGAGGGGTGACCTGCGTCCCAGAGGCCAAAAGGGCGGCCACGTTCAGGGCAGGGTTAGAGGCGGCCGCCGCAGCAGCAGCTGCAATGGGGGCAGCCACAGCTGAGGACAGAACGATGAGCATTAGCACCAGAATCTGAACAAAAAGATCCAACACTGTGAACGCTTACACAGCAATAATACATCACCTGCAGCCATTTCGTGCTGTTGCTGCTGTTGTTTCTCCAACATTTCCTTCTCTTTCTGCTCCTGTAGTTTCTTGGCTCTCTCTAGTCTGGAAAGAAAAAAAAACAAAAAAAAAAAACAACAACAACCATTGACCTCATTTTCTCTTTTTTAAAAAAATTAAATCACATGATTCTCGAGTCTTTATAAGAACTGGACGCACAGAAGCCTCAGAACAAACTCTTGTTAATTTACATTCAACTAACAAAAACATTCCTTTACCTTCTGGCTAAAGCCTCTTGTGCATCCATTGCTGTGTTTCGCCCACGGAAGACCAGCGGACTAATAGACTTGCTTAGACTCTTTCTGTGCACTTTTTCAACCCTCTTCTTTCGCTCCCTGA